GGTTTGTGACATCTCAGTGGAGGTTTGTGCTGCTGAAACAAGCAAGTGTGCATTTTGGACAAGTCTACTTACCCTGAACCTTGTGAATAATGACCTTGGGTATAACAACACACAACTGAATAACAACACAATACTCAGACCTAGTGACGTCTGTTGTGTTCACTTCTAACACCTCAAAAGTTTCAGGATCGCACAGACGCCACAAGACAAAGGGTCACGTAATTCTTTACGGACTATAATGAATGAACAGTAGAATACATTGAGAAGAAGAGACTGGAAAAATACGAACTACATCGGAAAGAGAACTCTAGAACACTAAAGAAAAACAAACCACAGCATCAAGGAAAAGAACAACGCATGAGGGGTAAAGCGCTGGCCAGCCACAACGTGCGTCCACTTTTGGCATGAGCGTACAGAAGAGCGTACAGCGCTCGGAAAGCGGAAGCTAAATTTGGCGGCAAAGCGACAGCAATGGTACGGCGCGCGGCACATAAGCAGTACGAGGCGAGGCACGTATACGCGTGTGCGGCAAACATTACACACCAGGTACCATATATGCATGAACAGCGCGGGGCGCATACTAACTCATTCAACATCAGTGCGCGGCGCAGGCATCTAGCTAGCTGGCGCAAGCATGATCATAATTGCATGCCATCACGCAATCAGCGCACATAAATCGCGCATCAAATAAATAAGTAATCAAACACAAATCAACTAAATAAATCAACGAGCTAGCAAGAACACAATTCAAAAATGCAACGAAGAAATAATTACTATTCTAGTCGGTTATTCGCATGGGACCAAGCGCAATGTCCAAGCTGATGAACTGTGATTGCACAAGGTAAGCCCAAGTTCCTGAGCTAACCGTTCTGGTGTGCAGTCTTCTTCGTGCTGCAAACACACACTACACAATGTGTCGTATCTCGTAACAAGTACTGTACCAAATCACAACGAACACTAACAATACGCAATAGTAAACAATAATCAAAAACACTACGCAAAAAAGCAAAGCAAGCAGCACCTAGCCAGGGAGACAAGCAGGAGTCACGGTCGCAACGAGATCTCGACGACACCCCGGAAGACCTTTCTCCGACACGATACACAACATTCTCCCCACCAAAGGGCTTCAACCACACTGATCACAAATCAAGACGAGGTGGTGGTCGAACGGTACGACGAGATCGACGCGTAACTTGCGGTTCAACGGTCGTCGAAGGTATTTCAACATCATTGACGACGTTGACTGGATCAGCGCTCGCGGGTGTCTGCGGCTGCGGCTCAGCGTCCACAGCAGGCGGCTCAACATGCTCCTTCGCTACTTCCAACGGAACCAAGCGTTGAATGGGCCGTAGCATGGACGATTGGCCAACTTGGACTTTGGCCACCCTGCACTTGCCATCTCTTCCAGGATACAGCTCTGCGACCCTACCCAAGCGCCATGATTGCCGCTTCCGGTTGTCGTCGGCAATAAACACAACGTCGTTCACGACAATCGGAGTTGACTTCGACCGATGATACTCACTGAGACGAATGAGATACTCAGACGACCAACGCTGGTTGAGGTGCTCGTAGACGGTGTGGACATACTTGACTCGAGCGGACAACTGCCGTGGATCGAGTGGTCTGTCAGACGAGGCAATACCAGTTGCAAAGATGTCTCCCAACATCATGGCTGGAGTCAGCGGCGACTCGTCAGCTACGTCCGTAGAAACCGGAGTGAGGGGTCGAGAGTTGACGACTCTCTCGATCTCCGTCAAGACAGTGAACAGCTCGTCTCGACTCAATGACGCTCGACCGAGAACCTTCTTCAAGGGAGCTTTCACACATGCCACCAGACGCTCATAGAACCCTCCATGCCACGGGGCAGATGGCGGATTGAAGAACCACGGGATTGCCACCTTGTCTGCGGCGGACTTGAACGTCGTAGCATTATCTGAACGTATACGCAGCGGCTTCCCACGACGGGCGATGAAACGACGCAATGCTAGCAGGAACACCTCTGTCGACAGGCTATCCACGAGCTCTAGGTGCACTGCGCGAGTAGTACCGCACACGAAGAGTGCGACCCACACTTTCTGAACATTTGATGAACTGCGCACGTACAACGGACCTGCATAATCAATACCTGTGAGACCGAATGGCTGGTGGTGCTTCACCCTGTCTGAGGGCAACGGCGGCATCTCCTCAGCAGCAGTCTGTGCGCGAAATCTGCGGCAAACAATGCACTTCTCCGACACGCTACGAAGAAACCGACGAGCTCCGAGAATCCAGAACTGCTGTTGTAGAAACGCAAGCACGCTCTCTACACCCTGGTGCATTCGCTGAAGGTGAGCATCACGCAGAAACAACTCACTTAGATGACATCTGCCCAGGATGATCGGATGCTGAACCTCGTAGGACAGATCGCTCTCCTGCAGACGACCACGAACTCTGAGCAAACCAGCTTCATCCAGAAACGGAGACAACTTGAACAGCTTCGAACCCTTCTTCAGTGGCTCCTTGCTCCGCAACTGGGACAACTCCTTGGGGAAGCATTGCTCTTGGATGGCGCGAAACATCACAGACTCAGCAGATGGAATCAATTCTGCACGCGAAACACCCTTGTGTCGCCATGACAGCATACTTGCGACCAAACCGCGAGCTCGTTGCCACTTGGAGAACTTCTCCCACGGCCAAACAACTGGAGCGTCAACCTCCACAGCCGACACGCGTGCTTCGGTGACGGACTCATTGGTGCTCTGAAACGAGATGACTGGTGGCCACTGAGACTCATCGCTCAACCATGACGGACCATGCAGCCACATCTCCTTCTGCAAGTCACACACTGGGACACCACGTGAGACAAGATCTGCAGGGTTGCTAACTCCTGGACAGTGACGCCATTCTACTTGCAGCTTCTGCGAAACTTCTTGCACTGCAGCAACTCGATTAGCAACATACGTCTTCCAGTGATACGACGGCTTTGAGATCCAGTGCCATGTGGTTAGGCTGTCTGTCCACCCCACAATCCTTTCAATTGGCACTCTCAATTCATTGACGACAAAGGACAACATCTTCACGCCAAGACACACAGCCGACAATTCCAGACGCGCAAGAGTGGGACGTACAACAGGTGCAACCTTCGCCTTCGCACACAACAAAGAAGACGTCAAACCGGACACAACATAGAAACAACAGCCATAGCCCTTCTCGGATGCATCTGAGAATACATGCAACGTGACTGGAGCATCTGGAGTACACCCGATCCATCTGGGGATTTTAACGGAAGAAAGCGCTGCGAGCTCTCCCCACCATGAAGCACATCGGACAGCCAAATCAATAGGGAATGGGTCATCCCAACCACCGCCGAGCTTCCAACTCTCTTGCAACATCATCTTGCCTGGCACAACTGCGGGTGACGCCCAACCTAGCGGATCGAACACAGCGGCAACACAACGCAACAACGCACGACGAGACCAACCAGACACTTCTTTGGGACACTCAACATCACCGAGCGCAGCCACCGAAATACAATCTGACTTGGTGTTCCACACAATACCCAGTGCCTTGGAACCAGCCTCGGGGTCTGAGGTCATCGTGTTCCCTCGCCACTTCCGCAACTCCATGCCTGCTCCCTGCAAAACATTAACGCTATACTCCTGCAGCTTTTCAGCATCCGCACAGCATGGCAAGCTAGAAACGCAATCATCAACATAAAAACTACGCAGCAGCAGCTCTATGATATCACGCTCAGCAGCAGAAGCAGACTCGAATGCACTATCGAGATGAAAGCGCATCACAGCACTAAGTATGAAAGGAGAACAATTCACTCCAAAAGGCAGCTTCTTTAAACGCCAGATACACATTTCTTCGCTACCTATCTCAGGCCAAACAAAACGCAGATATGGCCTATCTTCTTCACGCATTCCGATCATAAAAAAAGCCTTGCGAATATCGGCTTGTACAGCACATTCATACTCACGGAACCTGAGGAGGATACCAGTGAGATCCGGTAGGAGTGATGGCCCGGGATCGACCATGTCGTTTAGGGATGGTGCTCCGGTGCAGGCGGCGGATGCATTGAAGACGACCCGTGTCTTCGTCGTTGAGGCGTCGCTACGGAATACGGCATGATGCGGCATGTAATAGCCGGCTTCCTCCGGATGCGGTTCCTTTTCAATGGCATCCAGCTTCAAGTACTCAGTGATGAGGACGTCATCATACGCTGGACGTTGACCTCGTCTCTGTAGCTGCTTCAGCAGTGATTGTGCCGCTGCCATCGCCTGGTTGAGTTTGGCTGGCGGACGCTTCTCAGATCGCCATAGCAATCCCACTTGGTAATGAGGGCCTTGCCGCTCTATCGGGAAGTCCGGTAACGTCTCAGCTATTTCCGGCACCTCTTCCATCTTCCACAGTCGGTCAAGTTCAATACAACTCACACTGACGGTCGCTGACTTGGTTTCACTATTAGCCGGTCCTGACAGCACCCAGCCTATTTCAGTGTGCCAGGCCGTCTCTCCATTGATTTGCTCCTTGCGGAGAAGGAACTCATTGCAGTAGTCAGCTCCAATCAGCATGTGCACTTCGCTTGATCCGGCCTTTGTCGAGTCATCAGACAGCTGCAATCCCTGTGACTGCCAACGTGCAATTGTGCTGTCTGCTAGCGGATCGAATCGGAGACCTAGCGACTTCTTTTGCCAGGCATTGACGGAAATGGACTTCGTTGCACCCTTGATGGTGACACGGTACCTGTCCATCTTTTCAAACTTCGGCTCCACGTCAAACGCCTTCAGCCTGACAGTTTGCGATCCAAGGTGTGCCGGTTGCAGCGAGTTCACCAGTGGCGCGGTGATGAACGATGCCTGCGCACCTGGGTCGATGAATATGCGTACACTGGCCTTTCGGCTAGGTCCTTGTACCTCAGCCACGCCGGTCATCAAGTGCACGCTGTTTGCACTACATTCATACGTACCGACTTTCGATTCGGCTATCGGTTCGGATGTTACCTGTTTGTCCTCTCTGTGCAGTAGACTGTGGTGTCGCTTGTTGCAGTGCTTGCAACGACCCTTGTTCTGACAATTCATCACTCGATGTCCTGGTCTCAGGCAGTTGAAACACAGTCCCTCTGCCTTGACGTACGCGTTTCGGTGCTCAGACGCCATAGCTGACAATTTCTTGTTAGCCTCATCAACGCTGACCGTCAAACACTCTGCCGACGCAAACGGTATACGTTTGTCGCTGGTGCTAGACTTGGCAGGCTTCAGCTTGCTACGTCCGTGGGCTGTTTGGTAAGCCATACCATCCTCCGCAAACGCCTTCAAGTCCTTCGTGTAACATCTCTTCTCGATCAAGAAGGCCTTAGTTTCTGCCGACACAGCTTCTAGCAGGACTTGACGTACGACACATCCGAACAATTCAGTGTCGTCCAGCTCACCGATTTGTCCGCGGCTAGAGGTACGGCTAGGCCTGGCGAGTTTTGCCCACTTCTCCGTCTCGCGCGTCACTCGTACCACAAACTGGTAGAAACTCTCATCACTTTTCTGCTGTATGGCCATCAGGGCTTGCCACGCTTTGTCGGCGGTCTTCCCATGCGCCATCAGCAGCTCGCGCTTCGCTTCGGCAAAGGTGTTGCAGCCATAGCATGCACCTTCCAACTTGCTGCCAGCAACAGCCACGCGCAAGCGGATCAGGTACTCGTCGTCGCTGAACTCATGTTGCTTTGCCACATCCTCGAACAGTTCGAGATAGGTCTCAACAGTCTGCTTACCGTCGAACTTCGGCATCTTGATGGCAGCCCTCTTGCTCGCTAAACTGCCATTCGTCGTATTCAACAAAGTGCTCTCATCACTCTGAGTCTCTCGTGTGTGCTGGACTTGCAACTCCAAATCTGCAATCCTCGCAAGCAGCTGCTCGTCATCTTTCCTTTCCAATCTACTTCCTGCTCGTTCGTCGCGCTCTCTTTCTGCACGCACTTTCTCCTCGTGCTTCTCGATACGCTCTTCTACGTAAGTACGCAATGCCTCTCCAGTGTAGCCATAAGCTTGACCATTTGCGATCAGCTTCGCTTCTACCTCATCCATGTTCACGCGTCTCGATCCTGGCGTGGTCGCCAAAATGTTGTGTTCACTTCTAACACCTCAAAAGTTTCAGGATCGCACAGACGCCACAAGACAAAGGGTCACGTAATTCTTTACGGACTATAATGAATGAACAGTAGAATACATTGAGAAGAAGAGACTGGAAAAATACGAACTACATCGGAAAGAGAACTCTAGAACACTAAAGAAAAACAAACCACAGCATCAAGGAAAAGAACAACGCATGAGGGGTAAAGCGCTGGCCAGCCACAACGTGCGTCCACTTTTGGCATGAGCGTACAGAAGAGCGTACAGCGCTCGGAAAGCGGAAGCTAAATTTGGCGGCAAAGCGACAGCAATGGTACGGCGCGCGGCACATAAGCAGTACGAGGCGAGGCACGTATACGCGTGTGCGGCAAACATTACACACCAGGTACCATATATGCATGAACAGCGCGGGGCGCATACTAACTCATTCAACATCAGTGCGCGGCGCAGGCATCTAGCTAGCTGGCGCAAGCATGATCATAATTGCATGCCATCACGCAATCAGCGCACATAAATCGCGCATCAAATAAATAAGTAATCAAACACAAATCAACACATCAACTAAATAAATCAACGAGCTAGCAAGAACACAATTCAAAAATGCAACGAAGAAATAATTACTATTCTAGTCGGTTATTCGCATGGGACCAAGCGCAATGTCCAAGCTGATGAACTGTGATTGCACAAGGTAAGCCCAAGTTCCTGAGCTAACCGTTCTGGTGTGCAGTCTTCTTCGTGCTGCAAACACACACTACACAATGTGTCGTATCTCGTAACAAGTACTGTACCAAATCACAACGAACACTAACAATACGCAATAGTAAACAATAATCAAAAACACTACGCAAAAAAGCAAAGCAAGCAGCACCTAGCCAGGGAGACAAGCAGGAGTCACGGTCGCAACGAGATCTCGACGACACCCCGGAAGACCTTTCTCCGACACGATACACAACAACGTCCTTTCAACCTCACGGATAACAACATGCGAATAACGCCTCTCTTCTCATTCACGGTTGAGGGTCTTTGCTCGCAACATTGACTGTACAACAATAGGAAATCAGTTAGGGACCAGGCAGGGGCTACATCTCACCATGCACTATCTACCAGTGGAAAAGACTCATTCAAAAATCGAGTCATGTATCCTAGCGTACTAGCTAAACCACTTCTTGGATCTCGCCACCCAGGCCCTGTGTCTCACCACCCCTGGAGCTCACAACCCCTGGGTCTCATCAATCCTGGATCTCATCACCTCTGGATCTCATCCCAGACTCTGGGTCTCATCACCACTGTGTCCACCACCCTGGGTCTCACGACCCCTGGGTCTCACGCCGCCTGGGTTCCACCATCCCTGGGTCTCACCACTCCTGGGTCTCACCACCCCTGGATCTCATTACCCCTGGGTCTCACCAGCCCTGAGTCTTACCCCCCCTCCCCCCCCCCCCCAGGGTTTCACCACCCTTGGATTTCATCTGCCCCTGGGTCCCATTACCCTACGATACATCACCCTGGATTTCTTTACACCATTTTCCATCGCTATTGGCTATAGTTTGCTGTCTATATACAGTAAGGAAATTATGCTGCCATGCATTGCTACCTAGCTACAGAAAGTAGGAACTGCAGAAGTCTGCCCCTGTATGTCCAGTGGTGCCATGTGAAATCCCTTTTCCCTGGACCACAGCATTATAATGTAAAGTTGTACTGTGTTGGATTTCACCTATCATCACTGCATGAGTAAATGTACAGAGGGGATAGGTACAATCCGGGCCACTCCCTGCGTCACAGCTTTACTAACTATGATACAGGATTGGATTTCATCTGGCCCTGCCCTGCATGCGGTGCACTCATTTTTTGCTGTGACATCTATGTTCTGGTGTTTACCTAGATGCCTTGCTAATCAGCAGTACACGCACTGCTGTCAATCCGGATCCGATCCGTTTCAAATACTTCTGCCAGACAGCCAAAACAAAGTAAGCCACACGTCCCTCATGGTCATTGTACACCGGTTGTAACTGCTGTAATACCACCTTCCCCTTTTTATGAAGTATTTCTTCCACCCTCTGTTTCAAGTGTTCCCATTAGAGCAAACAGAAGCATTTGAATCAGTAGGCCATGGGACCGTGGGTCCAAAGCGCAGCATGGTTGGAAACATTCTTCTTTGCCCAAGCAAGACACGAACGTGGTGCTAACGATTCCTCGATCAATACCACTCATATTTTCCAGCATTGAGGTAGCAGTGCATGTATTCACCTGTGTGTGTGGTTGTCCGTGCCTGTGTATAGAGCTGTGACCGTCCATCGCATCAGTTTACCCAGAGAACGAAGTGCGACGATGATTGCACCGGAGGACAAACTCAGGGTGAATCACTATCGGCATTTGTAAGTGCAAAATAAATGTACTTCTCACTTCACAAATAAACAAACTGAAAGTTGCTGCTCACCCTCCTGACATTATGAATTTTACTACAGCATACCAAAAAAACATCTGACCAGTTTGATGACCCTGTGCGAAACGAAGGCGGTGTGTACGATCCCAAAGTCAAAGTGCAGAAATACTGCTAGACTACATGCAGTCGCAATTATGCCTGGGGCTGTACATTCATGCAATACATTCCGATCCAGCGGAATGGAACCTTGGTCTTCCTCAGTGATATGACTCCCATCAATTATTCAACTCAAGCTAATGATGCCACTAATCCATGCTCACTGAGTCCTTGTCCCTGTGTTGTCCTGTGCAGGCCTGCAAACATATTCACGGCCAATGATGCTACAATGCCGGATAGATCGCTCAAAGAACTTACGCAACGAATTCATACGCGCCGAAGCGGTGTGGGATAGTGTGAGATAGACCTTTGAGTTACGGAGCAAGCTACTAACATTACACACTGGTGGATGCACCCCTACAGATTTATAATAGTCTACTCTCCGCTAGTGATCTGCTACGGCTAGTATGGCAGGCCAGCATACTTGAAGAAAAACCGATATAACCTCTATTACAGGGTGTCCCCCCCCCCCCCCCCACCACACACACCCTCAATCTTTTATTAGTGAATTATTACATTAGGCCATGTAAATATCTTTTTTTTGTCGTCAGATTTCCCCGAGAATCGGGGTGGACAGGAGATTTTTTTGCATGTACGGCTGGAATAGGTGTTTGCAACCCCAGACATGTCCTTTCCTCACTTTATTATTATTTTTCGAATCCATTATATATTTGGGCGCAGAATGAGATGAGTTCTATTCATGTGATAACTAAAACCTCAGTTAGGATTAAAAAAAGAAAATCTGGCAGCTGATCTATTCACTTTTTCAACCCCTAGCGCCTATGGCTATGGTTCAATCTCTGGACTTGGCCTTCGAAATTCTGCAGCTACATGTACATGTACGGTACCTATATGCTGTGAGTAGAGGCTGCACCTACAGTACTTGACAATTTGACATGTACTAAAAATAATAATTTGGCCGGGAGCAGAGAGTAGGTTTTTGGTATTTTCCTACTCCCTGGCTAGCCGGGAGTAGCGGTGAGCGGATCATTCTTGGAACATTTTTGGGAATACTAGCGTGGACAAATTCTCATTCCCAGTGAGACCCCGCGACCCATTTTGATGATAACTTTAGTTTTCCTTGAGAAATGTTGGCAAACTTGGGCTTTTTAGAAAGCTTGAGGCATGAGGAGTTCTCTTGTAGAAGCAGTTTCTAGCCTTCACTTGTAAGAGGAATAACTATCCATCTCCAATTCCATTATTTTATTTTTTTGAAGAGAAGTTGAGCTCATCGACATGTGGACTGCTTTTAGTCTTAAAATTGTACTTTCATGATAACAAATGTGTTGATTGACAGCATGTTACAAGGCAGAGGACACACCGTGTTCGGAAACAGTGCCCCTTACTACAAACATCCATGGTTGGCAGAGCCCCGGGCTTGCGACCATTTGAACATTTTGAACTTGTAAGAGGAATAACTATCCATCTCCAATTCCATTTTTTGAAGAGAAGTTGAGCTCATCGACATGTGGACTGCTTTTAGTCTTAAAATTGTACTTTCATGATAACAAATGTGTTGATTGACAGCATGTTACAAGGCAGAGGACACACCGTGTTCGGAAACAGTGCCCCTTACTACAAACATCCATGGTTGGCAGAGCCCCGGGCTTAGGACCATTTGAACCGTACGGGTGTTAGCCCTGGTTCTGACCCTCATTATACTAGCAAGAGTACATAACCCCAGGGGTTATGTACTCTTGATACTAGGGAATTGTTTCAGTGTTCTGGTTTTTTTTGTGTTATTGTACTGTCAGTCGTGAATTCCTCGCTCGTTCTTGGATGTCTTCTTAAAGCATCTTGATACTTAGTCCGTTTAAACTTGTAGCATTTGTTCTTGTCACGTGCTGTCAACCAACAAGATACTTCCCGCGACAAAACAAGGCTTATTTTATACCGTGAAAGTACCGTAAGTGCACCATCGACGAATTAGCGCTAAGTTCAGTTATAAAGGAAATCATCGAGAAGAAGAAGGGGGCGACATAACAATGCTGAAAATGCTGTGGTTCATGAATGTTAGGAGGATGAGCCTGAAGATGTAAGTTAGGTAAAACGTGAAAGTGAGAGAGTGTTGTAATGTGCTCCTTCTGAGTGCATTAATCCGGCCCAGCGCACAGCGCACTGAAGCTAGCACATGTACAGGTAAATATAGCCCATTGAGTGGAACAAACGGCGAGTTGACAACAATGGTGATAATGCCTAGGCAAGCAGTGAGGCTAGCAGTGAGCGAGAGAGTGTTGACTGCTGGTGGACGTCAAGTTGCTGTATGTAGGTTTTGTAAGAGAAAGTCTTCAGTTCTTGTTTCATTGTTTTGTGCCGTGGTGTGGTCTGCAGTTGAAGGTCTTAGACGCCTTTTGTCAACGTTTGTATAAGCCCAATTATTTGTGTATACAGAAAGACAGCACAGAGGCGAATAGGCTTAGGTTCTGCGAAAGTGCTCAATGCCTGATTCAGGCAGAGCGGTGTACACAAACTTAGGGATCGTTGTCTGATGATTGGTTCAGCCATGAAACTCTTGAAACGGAATTTGCCAAGGTTTTCAAGAACGAAGTGCGACCATGCTTGCACCGGAGAAACAGCTCAGACTGAATCATTATCGTCATCTGTAAGTGTATCTTACTGCCGGTATAATAATTATGGTGGTGGTGGGGAGCCCGGGGACTCAGGATTGCCGCTCCACGTTTTGCTACTATTGATGTGTGTGATTTCTCCAAATAGACTAACATGCATACAGTGAATCTGATGTCTTCATGTTACATAGGTAGTGGCACAGTATTTCAGCCTGACTTCATGTATACATTATTACATACCGAGAGGTACAGTAGTACAAGTCATGTAGAGTCATGAAGTCAAGCGAAGCCATGAAAATGGTCATGACTTCGCTCGACTTCACGACTCTACGGTACTACATGTGCTCAGTCAGAGAAAAGTGGCATCCCTGCAGCCCTGCATCCCTACAATGGCTACATCCCCATACAGTGTATATCCCTGCAGCTGGTGACCCATCAGTCCACATTCTAAAATAATTTATGGAGTTGTGTACTGGTCACCATGGTAACATTGACCTGTAAGCGAAACATTGCATTGGCCTTGCTCAGTGCCACTTACATGCATCTCGTAGGCAAGCTCTCTCTCTCTCTCTCTCTCTCTCTCTCTCTCTCTCTCTCTCTCTCTCTCTCCCCCCCCCCCCTTTGAAATTTGCGTCCAAAGAATTGGGCACCATTGCCCGTTTGGCCTTGCGAAGTAAAATAAAAATCAATAACAAACAACAACAAGCAAGACATGGAGACTATGCCACTAATCCATGCATATGCTCAGTCCTTGTCCCTGTGTTGTCCTGTGCAGGCCTGCAAACCAGTGTCCACGCCCGACGATACTACAATGCGGGATAGATCGCTCAAAGAAAAAAGAAAAAAATTACTTACGCAACGAATTCATATGTGCCGCGGTGGTGCAAATTAGTCATTGCTGGAGGTATATCATTGGCGAGCCTGAGTCTGCCACCATCATGCTATTGATAGCAGAGTAGGCCAGCATCGTCTAGTGTTGTCATGCTGAGAAACATTTTCAACCTGTCCTATTATTCTCCAGTGACCTTGTTTTGCCATCAGTTGACCCACCGTCGATCAACAGTTGACTTACAGAACTAGAACTCGGAACCGCGTACCGCATGGTCTTTCCTAGGCCTTGACAGATTATGCTAGCATAATGTTTCGCATAATTCCTACCAAAATCGAATAATCGCATAATTCGATGCAAATTGCATACGAATCGCATAAAATTGGAATAATCCGCCTGTTCGCATCAAATTCCATACAGTTGTACATGTTCTACAAGTACGTTAAGAGTACGTTATGTACTCTTGGTAGGTCGGACGGTTTGTAGAGGGCGTTGAACTTTCGCTACTACAGTCCAACGCCCTCTACAAAAAAATCACCTGTTATTTTGCACAGAACCATCATATACAATGTACATGTACATGTACATTAGCAGCATATGTGAGCATAATACGATAACTTTTAGCATAAAAATAGCATAATTCTGCAATTTTTTCAGCAATGCGAAAAGCATAATTTCACGAAAAAATTAGCATAATCTGTCAAGGCCTAGTCTTTCCTCTTATTTATAACGAAATTCCAACTTGGAAGGTTCACGGTTAAAGTAAGGTGAAGTTGACACTGAACTTAACATTTTGTTCTCCCTGCTTGCATTTTACGCACTCTAATAATTATAATACTCGGTCTGGTAGCAACTGAGGGCAAAATGAGATAAGGAGTTCATGCATGCAATGGGTGTAAGGGCGGGGCAGTGCAACAAGCCTGGCCAAAGCAACTAACAGACTCAGTGTCCTACACTAAAAGGTCAATGCTAATGTTAGCTCTGCCACAGTACTACACTATTAAACTTGGTAGGAGCTCCCAACAAGAGTGACAAGAAGTTCAAGGGGACCAAAACCTGAGTTTCTTCATTAGCAGATCGCCCCTACATGGGCATGATTCAGTGCCAATTCCGGTAGTTTTTTCGATCAAAAGAAGATCCCAGGTATGCCGGTAGTTACCCTAGTTTTCCGGTAGCATACCGGGAAAACCTGGTATGGTTGGCAAGTATGCATCTCACTCCCTCCGCCTTGCTGCTTCACCAAGTCAATTTCGTATCGCAATCCTAGATTGGCTAGGGTACCCCGTAAGGAGACCATAGGTCTGTGGGGACTGCCCTAGAGAAATATGAATAAATACTACTACTATTCCCGGGCACTATGATAATGAATATTGTTCCACTCCGCGGGTTCCACATCTAGATCTGGGGCTACAGGTATGACATCCCACTCCCCTGTCCTTAGAGTTAGACACTACTCCCCGGGGTGTACTAGTAACAGTTTACACCTATCTGGCTATCACCTAGCCGCGGCATATTTCACACTTCACCATGTACATGACTGTACAATCATATCTTCACACTTAGTACCTGGTACCTTGCTCCTTCCTAAGGCTAACGCCTATTTACCTGATTGCCTCGCAACATGTCTTCACACTTAGAACCTGGCTCCTTCTAGCGCCTATTCCCTCGCACCTCTGCTGCATATTATAAGTACACTGTTGAACCGATAAAGATTGTCTTTCCATCGCTCAATGTTGACCCGTTACACTGGTAGCAGAGGATGGTGTTTTTGTGCAGGTATTCTTCGTCATCGGCATCGCAAGCGTCAGGGTCTGCAGATTCGTCTTTCGCAGCCTCAACTAACGTGTTACTTCAAGTCAAGACCCGGATCGGACCGTTCAAGCGGACACGTAGACCTATACAGCAGCTGTCGCCTTCGCCTTCAGCCGCTCTCACTGACCTTTAGAGTCTAGTACTAGTACTACTACTAGTGGCTCTACACTCCTGCCCAACATGCTGGTTTCACCCGACCAGGGATCTAGGGAGCCACCTGTTTTCCGTGGGGACGCCAGCAGCGAATTTCGAGAGTGGATATTTTCTATGGAGTTGACAATGCGGTCACTTGCCATCCGAGAGCCATGCAGAATGGTGGACTTTGCTGCGAGCTACCTTGGTGGAAACGCACGGATATTGTTAATCGCCTCACTAGACGCAGGACAAACTTACGCTGGCTGGCCTTCTCTCAAAGCCACTCTCGCTGATGCCTATGGCCCACTGCATGACCAAGAACAGGCTCGTCTAAAGCTGTTCAACTCGGCGCAACAGGGCATGCTGGATGATTATAATAATAATTATCATGAACTTTTCTCGACTGAGCCTCCGGGTGCCAGAGCTGGACAACCTGTCCAGAGCGATGTTGCTCGCCAATGCCAATGGATTAGCCCTTCCGCCGAAGAAGGTCGTGCTGCAGCAGCACCCGGCTGCATTAGTGGACTCTATTTCTGCCGCTCGCAATGCAGAGCAACTCGGCTTGATCTTGGTCTAAATGTGACTTGGTGCCAAAAGACTCTGTTCCTGGAAGACCAGATTGATGGCCAATGTATATCTCCGGATCCCAAGAAGATCGAATCAGTCAAAACGTGGCCGCCACCCTCATCCATAACTCAAGTAAGACAGTTCCTTGGGTTCTCGAACTATTTTAGAAGATTCATTGATCATTTCTCTGCACTCTCGAGGCCATTAGAAGAAATAACTGGAAAGAATGCACATTTTGTATGGAGTGATGCACGCCAAAAATCCTTTGAAAAAATCAGATCAGCATTAGGGGCTATCCGGCATTATCGATAATTTTCACGAAACGAAAAAGTTTAGTTAGGACCCTCTGATCCCTAGCTAGCTAGGCCCTGAACGAAAAATAGATTGACTTGACAGCAAGAATGCCTCACATAT